TACTTAGGCCATGGTTGAATGACTTCAGTTGTTTATATGTAATAAACTTGAAACAACAAAATTGAGAATATTCTTGATTTTTAATTTGTGCTTCACACTCTTGCCATTAATTTGTACAGAAAGCACAAAAGCAGAACCAGAGGAGAACAGGGGAAGAGGCATGGCCATTCAAAATTTGCATTTGTAAATCTCCAAACCAGGCTGTGGTGCATCATAGAACAGAAATCTTGGACAGTCATCTGTCTTGCCTGGTAGCACAAGGCACAGTTAATGTAGCTGGGCCTCTAGTTCTGCTGACACAGTACATGATGATGAATCTAAGTGTTAAGAACTCAGATTCAGTAGAGCCACATGGAACCACAGGGTCCTTAGTGAATGAAAAGTGTCTCCAAGCTTATCAGCAGAAAGATAACTGAGAGGTTCTGCTTCGACTACCAGTGCTCCAGAGATGTTTATCACTCAGGCTTTTGAGAATGAGAGTTTGACCCATACCAAACACTTCAGAAATAATGTCAGCATGCCCAAGACCACAGCCAGCAAGGAATTTTCTGAGATAAGATTACAACTTTGTCCTTAAAGGGATGCCAACCAAGTTAGTCGATCTCCTAATATTCCCTGAGCAGAGCAACCCTGTGGGTTATTCTTCATACCAGGGAACTTTTAGGAGCTCAATTTTTGTGCTTCTACATACAAATACTCTGCTGTTGTTTTCCAAAATATGCACAAAACTCTAGCAATATCTAAGAAAGTTCCAGCAGGGTCAAAGCTCAACGAGCCTGAGCCTCAATCAGCCAATTGTAGAAGCTGGAGGCAGCTCTCTATTGGCAAAGAACTCATTCATCTTATTTCATGATTTTATTTCTTCTTTATTGCCTACATATAAGGCAAATAGCCTCCCAGACTAGACTAGAACCCTAGTGTAGGTCTAAGGCAAAGTCATTATAGGAAAATCTGACTCAGTCTTTGAGTAGGTGTGAAAAGCCACTGTAATCATTTTTGTTTAAATACCTAGTCATGTGTTTGGTTTAACTATCAGTATGTTAACTGGCACTGTGGGGAGGGGCGTGGGGGGATGAGGTAGAGCTGCCTCAGTATCCTCCCAAGCCTGTGTCTGCAATAAGAAGAAGAAGCACACAGAGACAACTCACCTTTGATTTGTCACCCAGACATGAAGGGTATCGCTTCTTGCTTTGAAATGTCTGACGTTCATTTCCTTGTATTCCCGTGTACAGTCCGAGTATGACCTGGATTCTCATCCCTGCTTCCCAGGGCTGTGCTGTATATAGTTGCCAGATTAATTTAAAAAAAACAAAAACCTTTTTATCTTGTCATGTCCCAGTGGAGTCTCCCAAAGTTTATGCTCTTCCATTTTATTATTGAATGTCCTCATTAGTCTCTCGATCCAGTTTCTCTTTCTTCATTCATCCAAAGAATGTATTATGGGATATTTTAATTTACTTTTCACTTTTCCTGCCTCTATGCTTTTGTTCTTGCTATCTCTACCTTTTTGAATTCCTTCCCTCTTCTCTTTTATTCACATGCATCTCTTCCATTAAACCTTTTCAGACCCATCCCATCCCACCTACACTGATCTGACCCTCCTCAGAACTTTGTTCACTTATGGGCTAGAGTCCAGAGTCCATACCAGCTCTCTTGCAGTGAATCACATTACTGCCTTGTGAATTTAGATTTATTTTGTGTGCTGGGTCTTGCTCTTTCATTCTCTCTCTCTCTCTCTCTCTGTCTCTCTCTGCTATTGTGTGTGGATGTCTACATGTAACTAGGTAAGAGGAATATGAAAATAAAATCTCTTTTTTTGTTTTTAATTTTTTGTTAAACGTCTCCTTATAGGATCGAATCTGTCTTATATATCTTCAGAACAGACTACATGCTAGTGCTCCATGACATAGTTCTTAGTTGGTGATTCTGGCTGAGGATCTTGATTTGCAAGCTAGTGCTCTTAGGTTGCTCTGCAGCTTTGGGAAGTTTGGGGACCCTAGCTTTCTCAACACTGACAGAACCAAGAACAGCATCCCTAAGCAAGAGGACCTGGAAAGACATCTGAAGTTGGCTCAAAGGGCTTTCTTTTGAATAACTCAAAGCTATCTATAAAACGGAGACAGGCAGATTCTACTGCTGATCTCAGAGTTTAGTGAGTATTCAGATGTCAAGCATTTGGGGGAGAGTAGATCAGGTTTGCCCCCATCTGCCACGTGCCTGATTTAACCCCTCTATCCTACCACAGCAGTGGCTTCCCTTGGACTTGCTCTTTCTCCAACCTCATCACGAGCCCCACATTTCGAGGGAGTGTGAAGCCTGGGAGTGACCCAGACATCAAGGGCCCAGTAATATAGTTTAGTGCTCTACTGAATTATAAGTTTAGAGCTCTCTAAAGCTCTAGCTGGTTGTCTGCAGTTCAGATCTCGCCTTGCCCCGATGAACTATATGTCCATAGGCAAAATGAGTAGTTTCTTTAATCTGCAGTTTCTCCTCCTCCTCCTCCTTCTCTTCTTCTTAAAATAATAGAAACTACCTCATAGAGTTGTCCTGAAAATAAAATAAGTTGATTCATGTAAAATCTTAGGCTATTGCAAGTACATTATAACATTGAAAATAGTCAGTAGGCCAGATGCAGTGGCTCAAGCCTGTAATCCCAGCACTTTGAGAGGCAGAGGCTAGAGGATTGCCTGAGCTCAGGGGTTTGAGACCAGCCTGGGCAACTTGGTGAGGCCTCGTCTCTACAACAAATTTTTAAAAATAAGCTGGACATGGTGGCACGTGCCTATAGTTCCAGCTACTAGGAAGGCTGAGGCAGAAGGATCACCAGAGCCTAGCTGGTTGAGGCTCCGGTGGCCGTGTATGTACCACTGCATTCTAGACTGGGCAACAGAGTGAGACTCCAACTCAAAAAAAAAAAAAAAAAGAAAGAAAGAAAATAGTCAGTAAATGGTATACAGCTTACAAACAACATGCTGCTTTCTCCCATTTACAAAAGCAAAACAGTGATTTCCAGTCACCCTTTACAACAACTCTATATCTTGTTCCTCTCTCCCAAAATCTTGCACCCTCTCTAGTTGGACCTTAGCCCCCTCCATTCCACTATAGCTGCTTTTTTTTTCCTTTCTTTCTTTCTTTTTTTTGGTGGGGGGATGGGGGAGAGGGTCTTGCTCTGTTACCCAGGCTGGAGTACAGTGTCATGATCACAGCATATCGCAGCATCCACCTCCTGGGCTCAGTGATCCTTCTGCCTCAGCCTCCCTAGTAACTAGAACTATAGGCATATACCACTGTGCCCAGCTTTTTTTTTT